TTTCTACTCCGCAGCTTACCAACATGGAAGCCACGGTATGCAGGCTAGCTATGACTGGACATCAGTCCATCCTCATAGCCTCCTGTTACATCCCTTCAGGAACCTATCCCCTCAAAAAGGATTTTGAGGCCATTTTATCTTTAGCCAGGCCAGTCATTATGTTTGGAGATTTTAACTCCAAGCATACTGAATGGACATGCCGCACTACGTCCCCTAGTGGCAAGATACTGCTTGATATCACGCAGTCTCTTGATATTACCATCCATAGTCCTCTCGGTGTTACTCACTTCCCCAATAACACAGATCACGCCCCCGATGTGTTAGATTTTGCGTTACTCCAAGGAGTTTCTCTCAACCTCGGAGCAATCGAGACACTAGACGACCTAGGATCAGATCACCGACCGGTCTCCCTCATTCTTGGCCATCAGCCACCTCCCCCAACACACACGAAAACCTTCACTAACTGGAAGGGATTCAAGGAGTCCCTAGCTAAAGCTTTGGACTCACAGGACTCTACCATCTCCCAACCGTCGACTTAGATAGTCCCGAAAAAATCGACACCGCGGTCGACTCACTCTCCACCCTTATTAAATCCTCCCTTAAGGAGAACGAAAAGGTCGTCCCGGTTGCTAACAATAGTGGGCTTCCCCTACATATTAGCAACCTAATAAAAGCCAAAAAAGCTGCTTTCCGGAGAGCAGCAAAATATCCCACCCCTGCCGGGCTAGCATGGGCGGGGGACAATATATCCCCGGGGAGAGGATATAATTTTTATCCCTTGCTTAATTTTATCCACCCTGCGAGCATGGGCAAGAGACAAAAATTATATCCCCCGATTATATCCACTGACAAGAGATAAAATTGTCTTATCTCTATAGTATATCCCCGTTTGACATAACGAGTAGACATATATCTCCCCCGTCCGTAGCATGAGGCCAAGGTAAAGAGAAAAAATTATCCCTTTTTTGACATTTGAAAGGGATAATTTTATCCTCTTTTGCGGACGTGGGTTTAAGTTTATCTTCAAACCATTTTAATACAAAAAAAGATGTCTCGAGCCTATTGCAACTACATTTTCGTGTCAGAAATTGAAAAACAAGAAAGAAAATTACACCAGCGAACGATACGTGATCAGAATACTTAATCTATTGGAATTCTCCGACAACGAATTTCTACGCCGGTTTCGGATGCTCAAAGATTGTTTTGCATTTGTGTAAAGAACTCTATGAGGCTTTAAAGCCTATTAATTCTGTGGATGGACTACCAGTGCATATTGAAGTAATCATCTATTACAACCACCTTGTCCAAAAACATCGTATATTTGCAATCAATACATGTGGCTTATGTAACTTATCTTAATATTTTTTCTAGGTAGGTAGTTTACATCTTTCAGTCTCTTGGCAGATGGTAGTTACCTACTAGAGAGGTACGATTCAAGACCATGGCATGGCTGTTGTTCAAACAACAAATAATCAGCAAATACTTGACCTAAATTATTGGGGCTATCATTAGAATGTGGGGAGCAATATACTTTAATTAGCCTCTTGTGTAGGTAAATACAAGTTTAAAGACTAATATACATAATATTAGGAATACAAATAACACAATACTCATGATTATAAAATTATTTATTCCTTGTTTTGTTTGAAATCATTACATTTTTATTCTTCATGCTTCATCATTTTCAATTAAAATTAAATCTTTGTGACTTAGAGTAGACATCAATTTTGATGTATTTTGTAATTTTCTTATAATGGCAGTAATTGCGGGATAAGTTTTTTTTTAATTTCCTCAAGAGGTTACACCACCTCCAAAGGGTCTGTATTGTCCAGTTTCGCAATTGGCTTAATTCTAGACATATATTTTTTTAATAAATGCTATCACAAGCGAAGTAATACCTGCGATTTGATACAAGCAATGTATACTTAACTTAAATATTATACAAAAGAAAATAAAGAAAGAGTTAGAATAATAGAAAAAATAAAAACAAGGCAGAAATACGCTTAAAATAAATATAACAAATATTATAAATGACATATTGTTTAACAAAAATCATTAACAGTTTAGCAATATAATAAACAAAAGGTAAAAGAAAATATAAGTTAATGTAAATCTACTTAATCTTAAAAGAAGTTTATAGCTAGTATAGTTTATAGCTTTATACTATCGTACAAAGATGTTTTATAAAACATCTTAAATGATGAAGATGTTTTATAAAACATCTTTGCTATCGTATATTATCTATGCGCGGGGATAAGTTTATCTACTGTCGATATTATATCCACCATAGGCCCATGCTCGCAGGGTGGATAAAGCTTTGACATAGGGATAAGACAATTTTATCCCTTGTCAGTGGATATAATCGGTGGATAAAATTTTTATCCCCTGCTCATGCTAGCCCGGCTGAATATAGGCGCGCGGCCAATCGTGTTCAACGAGAACTCCGCTTCCGCCTCTCTGTATTTCGAGACCTCGAAAAGAGTAAGCTCATGGAGAATATCTCTCCATCTCACACAGCGTACTATCAGATGGCTAGAGCCCTCCGCATAGACGCTATCACCCACACTCCCCCTCTCTCCCGCCCCGACGGCACGGTTGCCTTCGAGGACGAGGAAAAGGCTGAGTGCTTTGCAGATAGCATTGCCGCTCAATGCTCTCCCAGTTCTCAACCCGTCGACCCCTCACACGTCCAGGCAGTGGAGGATGAGGTCCGCCGCCGGAACTCACCCCCCACGGCCTCCGAACCTATCTCTGTGTCCAATGATGAGATCTCATCCCTCATCAAAGGACTTAAGCCTAAAAAGGCTCCGGGCGCGGATGGCATCTCCAACCAAGCCCTAAAACACTTTCCCGAGCAGGTGTTAACCTTTTTATCTATTATCTTCAACGCCTGCTTCAACCTTAGTTATTTTCCCACTACGTGGAAAGAGGCTACTGTGATTGGAATTCCCAAACCAGGCAAGCCTCTCAACCTCCCCCTCCAGCCATCGCCCCATTAGCCTCCTCAAGGCAATGGGCAAGCTCTTCGAAAGAGTCATCCAAAGTCGTATGAGGCGCTACCTGTTTCCCACAGACGGCGACCCTCTTATCATTCCCCATCAATTCGGCTTCCGAGCCAAACACTCATGTCCCCAACAAGTTCACCGCATTGTGGAATATATCCTCAGCGGTTTCTATCCTCGTCGTCATAAGACCATCGCGGTCTTTTTCGATATAGCCAAAGCTTTCGATAGAGTCTGGCACACAGGCCTTATCTACAAGCTCTATAAAATAGGTCTCCCCGATCGTCTAGTTCGTCTCGTGGCCTCCTATTTAAAACATCGTACCTTTCGTTTCAGACACGAAGGCACGCTTTCTTCACAGCGAACTATCAAGGCTGGTGTCCCTCAGGGCTCAGTACTTGCTCCTCTGCTGTACATCCTATTCACCAACGACATTCCCATCCCGTCGAAAGGTGTTCAACTCTCCCTCTTTGCAGATGACACTGCCATCTACTGCAAAGGTGTCTCACTACCCCTTATACGGAACAAGATCCAAAAGTCAGTTGATGACCTAGGAGCTTGGTTCAAAAAAATGGCGCATCGATGTGAACCCGGAGAAGAGCTCCGCCGTCCACTTCGATTATAAACGACGCCGTCTCAAAAACACTCCACCAATACGTATGCTAGGGACCCCTGTCCCCTGGCATACGTCCGCCAAATATTTAGGTGTCACTCTAGACACAGGGCTCACTTTCAAGCCCCACTTCAAAAGAGTAACCCGTCACGCACGATTTTATCTGAGTAGGCTCAGCAGTATGTTGGGCCGACACAGTAAAATGTCCCTTCGAAACAAGCGTACACTCTACAAGGTATGTATACGACCAGTCATGTCCTACGCGGGCCCCGTCTTTGCCCACGCAAACCCTAACATTTTAAATGAACTCCAAATAGTTCAGAACCTATTCTGTCGTCGAGCTGCGAACGCACCGTGGTACGTCCGCAATGCCGACCTTCATCGGGACTTAGAGCTCCCAACAATTCAACAATTTCTTAAAAAACTCTCTGAGAACTTCTTCAAAGCCTCAGAGTCGCACCCAAACCACTTAATTCGTGAGGCAGCTTCTTATGCAGCCCCACCCCCCCTCTCGCTATCGTGTCCGCAGGCCGAGAAACTCCCTCTCGGACCCGCCTAATAAACTTTCAAACGACCTGAACTGTCTCCTGGCAGCTCAGGCCAACTCTAATTAAATAAAATTATTGTAATATCTAACATTAACTTGCCTTCGTAGGCACTCCCTCAGCGGCACTTAGCCGCCTGCGCCCTCTTTTCCCAAAAGAGGGTCGCTCATGATAAGGCACAATAGAGCTTAATCAGCCGGTTGCCTGTCCCCAAAGGCGGTTTTTAGAGGGTATCACTTAGGGTCCCCGGTAGGACAGTGAGCCCCTCATAACCACGATAGACCGGCTATCGTGGTATGCGTAATGCATTTTCCGCCTCCCTACGTGTAGGGTAGCCCTTTAATTGCTTCGGGCGCAAAAAAAAAAAAAAAGTTCTTTATTAACTTTCGTTCCACTACTTATACTTAGCAATCTCCTCCAGACAAACCAGAAGAAGAATGAAATGAAAAGAGAATAAAAAGAATAACGGGTAGGGTGCACTTAAATAAGGAAAAACTTAACACGCATTGATCATGAGCCCTGACGACCCTGATAATTATTTTATTTTGTTCTGGTGATCCTGATCTGGATACCAAGATGAAGTTATTAAATTATTACATCGTCATCGGTTCTTGATACGAGCGAATTTTTCAAGTCAATTTTCTTTTACTGCTTTTTGCTTTATATGTTATAAAATATAAAACTTGAAAAAACTGATCGATTTAACCAAATTGTAGCTGTATATCTAAACGACCAATTAGGAATAATCGTTAACCAACAAATTGGTTTATCAACAAGCCCTTTATTTAACTTGTTACAATTTTATTTGTTCTAAACGATCGTTCACGGCCGAGTTACGATATGTGGCTTTACGGGTTTTATGTTCTGGTAAGTTTTTTTTTAAATTTTGTCCTATTTTTAAAGTGATAGAGCCTTTTCGCAGCTATAATATAGTTGTAGCACAAATGGGTCGACTCGGACGGTATACGGTCAAACTTTCACAGAATATTAGCGTGAAGTAAAAGAACAATGCTGCTGTGTTTTGTATGGTTAGTGCAGAGAACCGGAGACCCTTTTACTGAGAACGATGCCTTCCACCTTAGTTCTCGAAGGTGACAACACATCTACATTTTGATACTTCGAGAATAGATCACAGACCGTGTTGTGTCGGTGTAGGAATATACATTGCCCCATATCGTCCCGTGGGTGTCGTAATAGGCGACAAAGAGAAGCAAATCAGGAGAATGGCAGTAGCGTCTTACCGTATCACTACGGTTTACGGTTTACGGTACGGTACGTCTGCCAAACGTGATTCGGACGCCTATGTTCGGAAATGATTTTTTTTTAGATTTTGCTAGGCTGTAACGATAACCATAAAGAACGAGATGTATATTTCTATGGTTGGTATTCTAAATAATAATGAAATATATTCTAAACCAAGTGACATTAGTGAAGCTTTTAGTAATTTTATATAGACATGACCAATACTAATGATTTTAATTTTAAAATAGATAACATCAATAAAACTATGAATATCAATTATTTAAACACAATATTTTTAAACCGACAGATGAAATTTTAAGCGACAGTAGCCTAATGGCAGAGCGCGGATCGCGAACTCAAAAGATGGTGGGTTCGAATCCGCCATTTGTCTACTGTCATGATCCACTCCTAAACTAAAAAAAGCGTTTCAAGCTTACCAGGAGTGGTTAAAAGGAATATTAGTAATGTTAATTAATAAAATTACTAATATTTTAAAAATTGATTAATAAAAATAAAAAAATAAATAAAATTCTAATTCAGTAGGATTAGATAATATAAATACAAAATTAATAAAAGCCTGTGCTAAGTATATATGTAGATATATACCTTTGAACTACATTATAAACATGTCGCTTGAGGAAGGTACTTTCCCTGAAATTTTAATAAAATCAAGCCCTTATTGAAGAAGGGAGAGGCTACCGATATGTATAATTATCGTCCAATCACAGTGTCCAACCATCACCTACCATCACGTGAAGCTATATTCTTGTGCATCCCCCGTATACTACAAAAAATGTTTTTACCGTAGCGGCTTAAGGGAATCAATAACTCATCTAACCCTGTAGTAAATAGTCGGAAGAAAACGCCGGGCAATTTTTTTTAAATATAATAGGGGTGACAAACACAGTCCACCTGATGATTAATGAACGCTCGCGCACTGTGACGCTAAGCCCCTGAGCTACCATGGCTTATAATACAATAGTATTGCTTAGTCCACTCAAAAGGATCAATAATTAAACTTTTGATAAAATAAAAAATCAGACATCAAAAACTAAATACCAAAAAAATTATTTCCATATACCTAATAGCTTTTGAAATCGATGCTTAAGCAGTAGTCTGGTTAACAAGTAGAAAAACGTGAAAATTAAACATAAAGCTCCTAAAATATGAGTGATATAGCTTATTTGATTTGGAATGACCTCTAGAAAAATGTTTTCTAACGGCTTATATTAGCATGGAAAAAATTTAATTATTATTAACAAAATAAGATGAGAAGAAACGGTATTCAGTTTTTTTGTTAATAACTCAAAAGCTATTAATATCTATGGGATTCTGAAAAAAGATTCTTAAAGAAGATGGAATTTCCAATACAAAAGTTTCGATTCTCGATACTCTATCTCCATTATTTATAATTTTAATTTGATGCTGAAAATAGGACTCAGACCTTTACGACATGCGCGCGTCACCGCTAGATACACCAGATAAAATATTTTTTATAACATATAATGTATTAAAAATTTGGTATCATCTGGACACTAAACAAAAAAACCTCGTTAGAAAAAAAATAACCCGGATTTATCAAAAAGTTATGCGATTATTAACTAACGTTCATATAATAAATATCATATTCAAAAATAAAAAACCGATATTCTTTAAAAAAAAAAAAAAAAAGAAAAAAAAAAACAAAAAAAAAAAAAAAAAATTTTAAAAAAAATTTATTCCAAAAAAAAAAAAATAAAAAAAAAACCGCGGACGCCTATAAGAGGGTCTTCTTTCCTTAAACCTTTTATTAATTTATTAATTTAAATATATTAATTATTAATATATTAACTTCAAAAAAAAAAAACCAAAAATTATAAAAAAAAAAAAAATAATTTTTTTTTTTAAAAAATAAAATATTTTTTTCCTCAGTAGCCTTTTAACTAGTTGACCAGACTACAGGTTGTATCGAAAGATTTTTAAATTTAAAAATTCCGAAAATTATTTTACTAGTTTGTGTGTTTGAAATCGGGTTATAATTTAATTTTTATTTGCTTGGGAATTAACATGTCAATCCTGAATGATTTGTTAATTTGACCGGAATGCATCAAAGTGTTGATGGTCGTAATTACATTTTTGAACTGTCTTGATCAAAAGAATGACAAGACCAACGACCGTAGAATATAGTTATGTCCGACGACCGACATTATATAGTCAGTAATCTATGATCGAGCGAGTACTGAAACTCGAAATGATCCATTTGAATGATCGACCCGAATGACGTAAGACAAATCAATACTTGAATGATCGGGTCACTATAATTGAATGAATCACACATCTCTACTTAGCTAATTTACATAAATAATATGATTATAACAAAAATGAAGGCCATTTACAAGTTTTTACATATAGAATACTTTTATGAAATGTTTAATTTTTAGATCTAGTAGTGAAGTATTTATGTCAGTCGAGAAAACATCTTCAGCACTTTCTGTTTTGCAGTGGTCACTAAGTAGTTCGGTGAACACCAACCCGGATGCAGGATTTAGCTTCAATTATCCTAATGTAAGTATAGATAGATAGAAAGTTCTTTATTTAGTCAAAACATTTTGGTGCAAAGGCGAACTTAATGCCGAAAAGGTATTCTCTCCTAGCTGCTAGCTAACCTTTGATAGTCTGGTGAGAGCTAGGGTGTGGTATCATAGTGTGGTGGGAGAAAAAACTAGGTATCTTATTTACACATATTATTTCAAACTAATTATGCATATACTACAAATATGTTAGTTTATATATAATTACGTATTACATACAATACACACACATATATAAATAATAAAAAACTATAAAATAAATATATACTATACCAATGAAATACATATAATATAGTGTAGGAAATTATAATATAAAAACCAATAATATTATGAAGTAATGTTAAATAAATTAAGGCGACACCGTGAAAAAATGCACCTCCTTCCATCGAATAGTATAGGACTATGACACCACTAACGAAACTGGAATTTTGATGTAGGTAAATTCATGTCTTTATCTTGAATTTGATTTTCCAAAAACACGATTGTATAATTTTGACTCGATCATAATTATTTGCGAAAACATCTCCAAAAATCACTATAGTTGAAATTACAACGAAATTACTAAATTACTAAATGCTTGGGAATCACTCAAATATATTCATAACATCAATATTCATAATTTACTTGTTCATTATTTTGATTTCTTAAATCAATAATTAAAAGTATTTTAAAATTCTGACAATTTCTAAGCGCTTTTAATCGTCGCGGGCGCTACGCAATTTAAGATCTTATGACGGCGTTTTTTTCAAGTTTTTATATAAATTATGTACTCACTCGGATCAGTACGGCGATAGCCTTTTCGACATATGTCATTACATGGTAGAGCCATACAACAGCTATATTAGTAGTATAGTTGTAGAAAGGGTTGCCACCTTTTTTTTGAACTAATATATTATGTAGTATTTTTCCCAAAAAAGATGGAAAAACATAGTACTTTTGAGAAATTCAGAAGAAAAAAGTAGATACACATTTATTTTTAATTTATGTATTTTTCCATTAATTACAATTGTTACATACATTATATTTGTTATTACTCTTTGCATTGGCCGTCAATGATCTAACCCTTCTAACTTACCTTTAAAATAATTATAGGAGTCTTCGAAATGTAGATTTATATTAAAATAAATTAACAATTAATTTTTAAATAAATTAATGCATGCTCTTTTTCTTTCTTCTTTAAATTTTACATTTATCATGGAAAAAATTCTTTCCTTAAAACTTACTGTCACACTTAATATAAATAAGAGCTACAATTGAATTAGGGATAAAATATAGTATTTTTCGTATTATATTATTTTTCCATAATATATAGTACAATTGACTGAAATTTAGTACGGTACTATATATTACAGTACGGGTGACAACCCTAGTTGTAACACGAATGGGTCGGCTCGACCGGGGAAGGACCACGCTCTCACGGAATACCAGCATGAAAGTGTAGCTTAATGCTGCAGTGTTTCGTATGGTGAGTGTAGAGAACTGGAGACCCTTTTTACTGGAAACAAGGCATTCCATCTTAGTCCTCTAGTCCTCACGAGTGACAACGCGTCTGGGTCCTGATTCGTAATCGAGGATAGATGTAGATGTCTATAGGTCACAGCAACCACTTACCATCAGGTGGACTGTGTGCTCATTTTAACCCTCTTAAAAATGTACAAAGTAAAAAGTATGTAAGAGTTGGACGGTTACATGGTTTGTTGGTTAGTTTGCCGTGATGTGGTGACTTAAGTAGAAATAGAAATATTAAATTTTTTAATCATTGTAGGTTATAAATAAACAATGCTTATTGAAAGTCACTCATAGCTTTAGTTTAGCACTGGCACAGTTTAAAGACACTGGTTGAGAAAATACCTCCATCCTGGTGTGAACCAGCAAGAAATCCAGCGGGACCTTTTGAAGGATACTTTTTTAAAATTATACAATTATACACATAATATGTTTTACAAACTACCCACAAAACTATTTAAAAACTTGGAAGCGATCACCTCATTCCCAGGGGTTGTTATCAACCTAACATTAGATAATAACCTTTTTAAATTTTCTAGGATTTGATTGTAAAAGTCAATGGTTTGGTTATAAAGATTATATTGCAAAACCATGTTTAATTACTTTTCAGTTGAAAGATGACGTCTACGATCAGCCCGTTCATTTCATGAATCCGAAGAAAATTCCGCATATGAAGGTACAACTTATAAGTTCCTTAATAATCCTGAATCTTAGATGTGTTGTGCTTTCTACCCTTGTATGTACGAGAAATTAACTCAAATTTTAAAAGAAGAGTAAAGAGAGTAGACTTATACATTCTTAATCAGTTCAATCGCCTCTCCCCGACTCCTCGGCTATCCTGAGGTGAGAGGTTGCCAAAGTGGGTACGTACGTAGCATCACACACCAGGGTTTTACCTCTCTCTCAAGAAGCCAAATTCATACCATCGGGTCTTCTGCAATCGTCCCTAAATATTCCACTAGGCTCTAAAATCAAAAGAACATTTATAGAGACAAGAACTCTTCAAATAACAACGTTCATAAAATCGTAACAGGATAACCTCCCAGCACTTATATATACGTGGTTAAAAGGCCAGCAACGTATCTGCAATTCCCCTGGTGTTGCATGGGCAGTGGTATTCACTTTCCATCAGGTGAACCGTATGCTCGTTTGCGTCTTCTATACAAAAAAGGTATAGCCAAGCTTCAATTATATTATGGATCTAGCACGAATGGGTCGGCTCGACCGGGGAAGGACAACGCCGTTACAGAATACCAGCGTAAGACAGCAGCTAAATGCTGCTGTGTTTCGTATGATGAGTATTGAATCCCGAAGACACTTTTTACTGGAAACGAGGCATTTCGTCTAAGTCTTGGAGGATAAATACATAGATTTTATGGGCTACAGAATTCACTTACCATCAGGTGGACTGTATGCTCGTTGGTCACACTTATTCAATAAATAAAAAACTTTTTTTACATGAATATCCGTGGAGCCATTTTGACACCGCTACCACAAGATCACTGATGATATATTGTAAACTTTAACAGGGAGATGGCATACTAGAGAAATCGGACAACTCAGGGATGCCATATGACTGGCCTTCTCTGGACGCGTTCATGAACAATCATAACGACGCCCGCGACCATAACAGGATCAAGAGAAAAGCTAAGGTGAGAATATTTAATTCATTTGGCCTCTAAGTGTAGTTGTCCCCAGTCTATCGGCCTCTACGACCAGCATCATTTGTGGACGTGCATAATACGATTATACAACATGTAGCAAAACCCTGTGGTTCTCGTGAAGTACGTTATTAAAATCAGTTCTCAAACCTATAAAAATAATAGAAAGAAAATACGAGTATAAAAACATTTTAAAAAAATATTTGCACATTGTATAGCGGTTTTATTTCGGTAGACGCTTTCTAAATTATTTGGATATTTTTGCTGCGGTAAGGTACCAGGATAACAGAAAATACGAGTATGTAGAAAGTAATATTTTTATTTTCTTAAAAGCACTTGCTCAGGTTCTACTTCCCATTGCGCCATGTTTTTAATATTAAATCCATTTTAATCAACTTAAAAATAATGTAATTTATTAATTCTTTATGTTTTTTTTTTAATTTATGTAACCTAATATATCCGGGATTTGTTTACGGCTAGCCTAACAACCAGATCCGATGATAGATTGAAGTTGATTCAATATTCTTTTTAATATAAATATAAAATCATCATTAATTTTTTTCCTTTTTTAATACACAAATGGAATCTGGTTATAAAACCGGCTGGCGAATGAAAACAAATACGATTTAAAAAAAACTTAATCAGATATTAGAGGTACACTGTGTTATTAAGTGTTGAATGAATAACTTGGAGATGATATCATCATTTCGTGAGATATGCGAGAAAAAGTTCGCCAACGATCAAATGTACAAACTAGCAAACATACAAACATCTATAGACATCTTTTTAAAAACATTAAAATCGGAACTCAATGGATTTTATTGATATGTTGGAATTTGGACTTTCAAAATATCCAATCCATTAAACAAGTTCCTACTGGAGAAATATCAGCAGTCACAACATGACAATTTTCTGCCGCAGAACACGAGAAAATTCGGTACGCTAAACGGACCGAAGCTTCGAGATCGTCCCAACCACTACCTCTACCCGGATCCGGTGAAAGATCGCATACTCGAGTTCACAACCACTACGAAGAAACCAAGCATCCTGCCGGACCAAATGAACCCGGGCGTGATATTCCGCGTCCGGATGTCGGACGCTATACTCCGGATCAAGCAGCGCATGTACGAAGACCCAGAACGGCACATCGAATCCGATATAATCTACACGAACTTAATAAAGAAAGTAGTCATGGATGAGATAACGAAATTTCATAATTTGCTCCTAATGTACAAAACTGACAGAAGCATCAAAGAACATTTGGGTGAATGCGGTGGAAGAATCTACAAGTTCATCAGCTACATGACGATAAAAGTTCACATCTACTGCCTCTTCGATTCCCTCTGGATCGATGGGAACCCGTACGTCATTGGTGACGAGTACACCGTGACTCCTGTGGAAGTTCCCCCGATGCTACAATGCGACGCAGCTGAGTGCAACTCGATAGTTTTCGTCGATTCAATCACTGAACCTAAGGACGTTGAAGAATGATTTATTTGAAGCGCAATAAAACTTAATTTCAATATTTTAATGTGTTTTTTTAATTTCTGCTTACTTTTACAACTTGCTATTTCTTAATCCGTACTTGTTTTAACATCATTATCACCATTACAGTCTTCACAAGACCAGTGCTGAACATAGGCGCCACGAAACACGGTCTTGACCATAGAATAAAACTAATTTTACTTAATTTAAAAAAGTTTAAAGTTTAATTTTAAACTTTTTTATGTTCAGGATGTGAAAGGATCGTTCCAACCATTATATCATGTTTGATAGACCACATATCTTTGCGAGGCTATTGAAATTAAAAAAAAACATCCTAATTTCAACAGAGAAAATGGCTGTGTGCTACCTCCTGCTTGAGATCCCATATACAATAAAATTAAATCAAAATACTATACGGTAGTTCTGCGTAGATCGTACCAAAACTTAATAATTAAAAGTTCTAGGTAGCCTTCGTTAACGTAACATCGGGACGCCCCCCGCAACCATGGATGGTGATATAAAGTGCCCGAAACGTCGGAAATAAAAAAAGTTAAAATTAAGGACGATATGATCTGTAAAATTAATTTCATTCCTTGTGTAGTATTCACGTAAATATAAGAAATCATTACGGCTCTGAGCCATCCGCATCCATCGATATCCCTGCATCCTCCATCTTAGTTTATTTTATTTATTAATATGTATACAACAAGACACAGAAACAATCTTAGAATATTATTATTAATAGGTACTTATTTTACTAATTACTTATTTCATAATTTATTGAAATATATTCCAGTCAAAGTTACAGCCTATATATACGTCCCACGGCTGGGCACAGGCCTCCTTTCATTTCTTATAAGTTTTTAAAGCAAGTAGATATCCGCCGCGCCGCCCCAATATGTGTCGGCGACCTTCACATGTCTTAGAAATATTTTTTTTTCTTACTTCTCAGACATAAAAGTTTCCTCACGATATTTTCCGACCGATTTAAAGAAGACAATGCCACTAAAGATAACTCTACCGTCTACTCCACAACAGGAAAGGTCCTCGTTGCAGATCCCTCAATCTGATGCAAATCAAAGCTCATCAACACATAAAATTGCAACAATTTCATTAGTGCCGGCGGGATCGATCCCGGGTTACTCGCGTACTGTGAAATCTACAGCCAGTGCTTAGCCTCTGAGCTACTACGGCTCTTATATTACCACAGCTTTATGTCTATGATTAATTTAATTCGAATTATATTAATTACCGTGCAGTGGTGGTGTAAGAATATCTACTACCGTATATCATCCCGTGGGTGTTGTGAGAGCCGACGGAGAGAAACAAGTTAGAAAATTATTATAACGACTTAAAACTAAAATAAAAACTGCGATTGGCAACCCGCTTGCCAAGCGTGACTCTCAGTAGACGACGCTGTAGCCATCTCCTTATAGCGACTTAAAACTAAAATAAAAACTGCGATTGGCAACCCGCTTGCCAAGCGTGACTCTCAGTAGACGACGCTGTAGCCATCTCCTTATAGCGACTTAAAACTAAAATAAAAACGCGAGGCAACCCGCTTGCCAAGCGTGACTCTCAGTAGACGACGCTGTAGCCATCTCCTTATAGCGACTTAAAACTAAAATAAAAACTGCGATTGGCAACCCGCTTGCCAAGCGTGACTCTCAGTAGACGACGCTGTAGCCATCTCCTTATAGCGACTTAAAACTAAAATAAAAACTGCGATTGGCAACCCGCTTGCCAAGCGTGACTCTCAGTAGACGACGCTGTAGCCATCTCCTTATAACGACTTAAAATTAAAATAAAAACTGCGATTGGCAATATAGTTGCACGAATGGGTCGGCTCGACCGGGGAGGGACTACGTTCTCACAGAATACTTAATGCTGCTGTGTTTTGTATGGTGAGTGTAGAGAACCGGAGACCCTTTTTACTGGAAAAGAGGCATTCCATTTTAGTCCTCAAGGCTGACAACGCATCTTCATTTTGATTCGCAAACGAGGATAGATGTAGATGTCTATGGGCCACAGCAACCACTTACCATCAGGTGGACTGTGTGCTCGCTTGTCACACTTTTCCTATAAAAAAATCATAAAACGCCAAGCAGTATGAAAGGGGTCAGACATCCGTTACTACATTCGACGATCTGCTAATGAGAGTTGAACCAGATGTCGAGCAGTGAACTGATTACGATCCTTGAAAGTGTATTATTTATATAAATGATTTTACCCTACATTTATTTATAGAATACGGGTAACAAACGAGCACGCAGTCCACCTGATGTTGAGTGGATGATGTAGGCCATATACATCTACATTTATCATCAATTAAGAATTAAAAATTTAGATGCATCCCCATCCTTGAGGACCAAGATAATCCTCTTCAGGACCTTCGGTTCTTTGTACTCGCCAAACGAAACAAAGCAGAAATATTAAGGTGCTATTTTCCTTAAAATTGTAACTTAAAATCCATAGACAGGAGAAGAATGGACTTAGTTTGTGTAAACCCTCAAACCAAACACGCATTTGTGAACAAATTTTACATATTTTTAGGACCCTTTCTATATAACAAGCTCAACAAGTCACTAAAGGTATATAGTCTAAGTTATAAGAACTGTAATATAAGTGTAAGGGAATTTCTAAATAAATTAAATTACGAAGACACAGAGAAGTTGTTAGAAATTCTAAAATAGTTTGTATTAATTGTAGGTAACAATTAATTGTTATTTTGTTATATAGTTATTTTATTTATTATATAATATAGTTTAATTATTTAAATATCTAGTGTCCTACATTATTAAACACATTGTGTAAGTGATGTCTGAAACACAGGTACTCAACCTAGTTCAGGCAGGTAGCTAATATTATAAACTTGACTTTTTTATTTTTCTTTTGTATATTCTACATCATTAAGCTACACATAGTTTTAATTCTATAATTATCATATTATGTTATTTTTGTTAGACTTATTGTTACTTTATTTAATTGTAATCATATTTATTCCTGTATGTAAACATGTGTAATTGGAAATGAAATAAATATTTATTATTTATTATTATTTATTATTTTATGATGGTGTTCTGTGAGAGCGTAGTCCTTTCCCGATCGGACCGACCCATTCATGCTACAACCATAATATAGATGAATCGTGGCTCAATCACGTGGAAAATTTTCATCACTTATTTACCTGACTTTAATTTAAATTCTATTGTTTATTTGCAAAGAAGCACCGTGGACACGTGAACCGTCGTCGAAACCGACATCGCAGTTCAACCGCACCCGCTAACGAGGTAATATAACGTTACAGTAATTCCAAATGTGTACTTCTTTACCCGACTTTATTTTCATCCGACTTCAAAAAAGGAGGAAGTTATCAGTAGGAATGCATTTTTTTATGTTCGTTACCTCAGAATTTTTTTGTAGGTGATCCGATTTTGATAATTAATATTTATTTGAAATCTGGTGCTTCTCACGTCTCTCTCTATAAAGTTAATCAAGATCTAAGCTGTAGTTTTTAAGTTATCCTTAATGATGCTAATTTAATTGACTTCGTTTACATTGATGATGTTCTCATATTACTTATAATGAAGTTGGTTATACGAGATTTTTAATTTTTTTTTTCAAACAAAAAAAGTCATCAAAATTGGTTTACCCAGAAAAAAGTTCTGAGGTTACACACATAAAAAAACATACAGTCGAATTGAGTACCTCCTCCTTTTTGATGTCGGTTGAAAAACAACAAATGACTTTCAAAAACCATAATTTGAACTCATTCATTCCATAATTTTCGATGAGTTACATTTCACCAGTCTATTAACGCCAGGTACTAGATCAATAATCGGCAAAAAAAGATGTGGTCCAGATATAAAATTTATCAAATTTGTATTTCCCTAGTATTTCTTTAGTATGAATGTCCTCCCTCCAGACCGAATTCCCGTCACGGCGGCTGGTATCAATGGAATCTGGCTATCTGAGCACAAGTACACGAGCGTACGCAAAAGCATAGGTGCACTCTCCAATTAATCAGACATGAGATGCAGGATCAACGGCTTTACGTACTTTCAGGAGTACGGGGATAGAACAGCACCAATTCCTTGACTCAAACCCTGAACTAATTTCTACTCACTAGACCAACAAGGCAGTCAAATAGGTTCTTTAGCACTAATGAGACGCGACGTGATAGTTTATATCGTTATGCACTTTTTGATTTTTAAAGGTATTTTAATTTCTGTCCAGCTGAAAAACTCTTCATCCACCGAAACACCAACGGCCAGACGCGTTGACAATTCAGACGCCAAGCAGATGCTCTCCAAGCGCAAACGTAGCAAGAAGAAAGACAGTTCCAACTATGATACCTATCAAGCGCCAGTTAAGGTACATTTTAGAATGAATATTTTTATATGTTCTAAATATGGAGGGTATATTAGTAAATCAGTTATCTGTTAACTTTGCCAAATTGAGAAAAGTGCTTACAAAAGTTTGAAAATTCATAACTCATTTACATATACAGCGTGCAACGTAGATAACAATGTTTAATGAGTAGTTGATTATTAAGGTAGAGGTATTTGAAAGAAAAAAAACGGCGTTTTAATAAGAACTTTTACAGAAAATTAAAAAGAGTGCGAAGGGGTCAAGCAGTAAACTGGTTTAACCTGACCATCTTAAAATTCTGTTTTTCTCGTGTTCAAAGGTTTTTATTGAATATTCTCTTACACTATACAACATGTGAAACATATTTATATAATTATCATCTACTATTTACTTACTATATGTAGTACGTTTCACATTATATTCAAAGAAATAAAAACGTAACAGGTTTCACCTGAAAAGTTTTAGAAAATATACACAAACTGTAATCAGACAAAAACAAAGTCAACGTTTGACTAGTTTTATTAAAAAACACATTTTTTAATAAAGCTTCACAAGAATGTCTCAGAAATACAAAGAAGATCTTATGCTCAGATTTTAAACGATATAGACTGTCGCTTGAACGTGTTGACACCTGCGTGATTTTATATCATCTACCATTACAAACTTCTACTACAACTACAGTTCCTGGGTTTCATCGTGATCTATACTAATATTTTTTAAGCTTTGAAATTTAGTTGTTTTTAATAATCCCATTGTAAACAACTAGATATGATGATGTATGTGAACCAGGCGGTGGTGAAAGAGAATTTGACACACCATCTCAACCCACGTGTATCGTAATAGGAAAACCCAGAAGGATTTAATGGTTTCTGATAGACTCTTCTTTCTGCCTAGGAGTGCGTCTGATTAAGCTTTTTTTTATAAAATAAGGTTGACAAACAATCCACCTGATTGTATGTCGTTGCGGTGGGCATAGACATCTACATTTATACTCGACCTCCTCCTTGTCAACCCTGAGGAGTAAGATGGAATGCCTCGTTTCCAGTAAAAAATCGTCTCCGGATCTCTACAATCACCATAGAAACATCAGTATTTAGCTGCTATTTTACGCTGGTATTCTGTGAGAGCGTGGTCCTTCCCCGTTTATGCCGACCCATTCGTGCTACAACCATAATATAGCTTAATACACCTAATGTAAATAATAAATATAGCAAACATATTATAATGAATAGAGTGTTTTTTTAAATTAAATTAGAAATAAAAAACAGGACCAAGTTTTGAGACAGTATTAAAGGTAGCAATTAGGTACGTGTGGTCGTGCCACGCCAACTATGGCAAATATCTCTCATTGCCACATAGGTAATAGAGAGGAGGCGAGATATATGCGAGAGGTCTATGTTGTCTATGTATCCTATTATGATAATGGTAAATTTACTAGCGTGGCGTTGTTTAGATTTATGATAGATAGAAATCCACTTTTATACGTTCTAGAGCCATACTGCAGTTATATTAGTACCCTGAGGACTAAGATGAAATGCCTCGTTTCCAGTAAAAAGGGTCTCCGGTTCTCCACAATCACCATACGAAACACCGCAACATTATGCTGCTATTTTATGCTGGTATTCTGTGAGAGTCCGGTCCTTCCCCGATCGAGCTGACCCGTTCGTGCTACAACTGTAATATAGCTGCAGCGTGGTTCTACCACGTAAAATCTCTTTACCACGTAGATACCACGATCATTCTTATTTCTGTTGCCAAGAAGCTGTACTTGCACTGCTGTGTTCCGAAAGGGTATGTAGAGCCAGTATTATCACAAGCTGTAAGGCATTCCATCTTAGTCTGCAGAAGTGACAACGAAGGCTTCTTGTTTGACGTTGGCAGCTGTAGCCACTTACTGTCAGGTGGATATTTGTCAGTTCAGTTTTATAAAAAAAAGATAATGGAATAATAGTGTTACGAGCTAAGGGTTCGTGACAATAAAAACTGCCGATTGAATTACCAAAATTGACACTTTAATTACTGAACACCAATTAAAACTTAAATCACACTAATAATTATTCACACTTAGCACTTTAGTTCACTTTATTTCACTCCGAAAGCTTCGCTCGTATCGCCAATTCAATACTGCTCCGGTCGCGGCTTCCATGGCCTTAAATAGGCCTTTTCCGCCGAAACATCCAGAATGTTACAGCAAATACCGATCCCGACCGACTAAGTGCAGAAAGTTCGAGTGTGGACTTTTCTAGAAAGCTTAATTCTTCTATTCAATACTAGATGGCACTGTTGGGAGAGTTCTGGAAAGATCTTGACACTCTAATACTTGATACCAGATGGCGCTAGTGCCATCAACTGTGGCGCGCAACAATACCAACTTCTCCAGACTTAAAACATCCAGACCGGTGACGTGCAACAGCTTTCATGGTGCGAGACGACTACAACAACAGTACATAAAGCAACACGGCCACCGGGGAACGAACGGGAGTAGCCATAGCGTTTTTCATCGATAGAGAATTGTCAAACGAACGAATAGATCGAACGAACTGTGTTTATACGTGTTTGAGCCACGCTGTACCTATATTATGGTTGTAGTACGAATGGGTCGGCTCGAACGACGAAAGACCACGCTCTCACAGAATAGCAGCGTAAAGTAACAGCTTAATACTGCTGTGTTTCGCTTGGTGAGTGTAGAGATCTGGAGACCCTTTTCTACTCGAAACGAGGCATTCCACCATTCCAGTCCATGTAAATGTGTATGGGCAATGTAAATGTGTATGGGCCACAGCATCCACTTACCACCAGGTGGACTGTGTCCTCGTTTGTCACCTTATTCAATAAAAAAGTATGTTATTTTTCTGGGAAGGAAATCTACGCACACATAATTAATCGTCCGTCACTACAAAACTCACACGTAACAATCAAAACAATAAACTAAAAACACACACACACACATAGATACATTATAACAGTATCACTCGGAGACAGCAACACTGATACGGATTTGGATCAGCCGCTCGACCGATCCGCATATTGTAATACGGTGAACGGCCTGCGTCAGTAAGCAAATCCGAAACAACACAATTATTAATGTAATATTATAAGTTTAAAAAGAAGTTAACAGCAATAATATGAATAAAATTACTTATATACGAATGGTACGCTTTTTCTTTTAGTATATTTGATGTGGCAGATCTCCTTGTGCAGCAAAAAAAAACTAAACAATTCGGCATTTTTGTAGGATTTTGATTTGGCCGCGCAACTATCTCACAGAATACCAGCGTAAAATAGCAGCTTAATGCTGCTGTGTTTCGTATGGTGAGTGTAGAGAACCGGGGACCCTTTTTACTGGAAACGAGGCATTCCATCTTAATCGTTACGGTTGACAACGCATCTGCAATTTGTTTTGCAATCGAGGATAGATGTAGATGTCTATGGGCCACAGCAACCACTTACCATCAGGTGGACTATGTACTCGTTTGTCACCCTGTGCTGCAAAAAAAAAACTAGAATTTAGTCTAGTGAGCTGTGCGGTTGCAAATAATTTATTGTACGCATAGGACCGCGTAGACTTATACTTCTACAGAGGGGAACGCCTTCGTATAGCTACTCCCCTCCGAATACGGCCCCTCTTGACAGACGTATTGCTCTATGTAAGCAATACGTCTGTCAAGAGGGGCCGTATGAGGCAAATCCTACCTAGGAAGGCCCATGGCCAAGCGTGCTCCTCTACGAGCTGATGGATAACATGAGGAAACAATCATTCTGTAAATATTTATCTTTCTTACAGGGGTGGGATTCACATTTCGTTGAGATGCCCAAGGACCTGTACCAAGCCCACTTGAGACCCGGCGTCATATTCAGGATTCACATGGCAGAAGCTATACTAAAAATGCAATATAGGAAGTAAGGCTACATCTGTTTCTTTATAGGAAAGTGTCTGCTGTGGACCATGGACAACCGCAACCAACTTCAAACAACGAAGAACAAAGATACGTCCCGTTACCCTTACAGCCTATTAAAGTCCACTGTTGAACATAGGCCTCCCCCATAAAATGCCTCATACATGCCCTAATATTCCCTATATTTGCCATAGTTGCCACGCGCTTGTCAAGCGAGTTGGCAAACGCAGTTTTTTTAGTCGTTATTAGGTACACGCTGCCGCACATCTCCTGATTTGATTCCTTCCGTCACCTCTTACGACACCCACGGTGCCTACGGCACCCACGGGATAACATGGGGTAGTGGATATTCTTGCGGCATCACTACGCGGTCATTCCCATGAACACTTAGACGGAATGCCCTACAGCCTGTAATTCAACTGGCTCTCTATACCCTTCAGACTGGAACACAGCCTGATAACTAATTGGTATGACTGCCACGTTGGTCAAGTGGTTGTAAATGCAATGTCAATCATGATGTCGTAATTTTGAACCCCAGGTCGAGCCAAAAAATCAGTTATTGGGTTTTTCCTTCAAGAAATTCTCAGTAGCTGCCCGGAGTCAGGAAGTTGGCGGTGTCTTACCCACGTGCCTCGGAAAGCACGTAAAGCTGTTAATCCCGCGGTGACATCTCTCCGTTCGGCTTACCCTCCCATTGGATTATAAGGGTGAGAGAATAGTGAGTGCACCTGTGCTTGCGCATACACTTGGTCACTATAATCCTGTCCTGCAATGATTTGTAGGCTCCGTTGAAGCTGGCCGCCGTGACCGAAATTCGGTCTGCGGGATATTATTATTATTATTGTACGGTAATGAAGTTGAGTGTGGCAAAATAAACGGGTGAATAGAATGCTGTGGAAAATGCTGTAGAAATGCGTTCAACGATATGTCAGGGGTGGATACATAATATAAATATAACAGCAGCCCTATAGATCCTACTTAACTATCTGTTCTATTTTTGAGTCTCCGAATGCAGGCTGATCTTTCGGTGGGAGATGTAAAGCGATGACCCATTATGGGAACCGCTGAAGCATACCATCCTGCTGGGGAGGCTTCGTCGTTTCGCTAAATACCTACAAAGCACTACTCAGATAGATGCCACCGTGGAAACGCTTCCATTGTCGAGCTTAAGCTTCCGTTATCGAGCTTAAGTTTTTTTATAGTATTACTTGGTTATCTGCCTAGGACTCCTTCTGGGTAAGAGGTTCCACCCTCGAAGCTATTTCTGCTGATAATTATCAGTGATTGTACTGCTGTGCTCTGGACTGAAGGGAATAGAGAACCAGTAAATTACAAGTTGCTCATTAAGGTATTACTACTACCGCAACTATTTAGTAAGTGTCCAACGCCCGCACAGATGAGTCGTGTTCACTTCGCATAAATACCAACTTCAAAATTCCTGGTTGTGTTCTTAAAGATTCAGTAAACACTCCAGAACATCAAAAAAGTGATGGTTTAACATTTCGTCGGTAAGTAGACATCGAAACGTTTGAAACTCATTGATTTAAAGTTCTTCGCATTGTTACAATGGTCACGAGAATCGGGCAAAATGTAAAATCTATGGGAGCGACTTGATATACACTACGTTGAACGATACGCGTAAGCGTCATGAAATTTCTGGCGCTTATGAGCTTATGACATTTTGGTCGCGAGAAAACTAATCCCTAATGCAAACTTGCGCTACATGTTTTAATAGTTTGGTTAGACGACGTAACTATTATTTTAGCGCTGCAGCGAACTTTAGTTCTAACTCTTACCAAAATGAAGCAAACTTTTGGTTCGGGGTGTCTGTTCTATACGCTAGTAATATTGTTCAATGGTTTGGCATTCCATCTGAGTCCTCAGATGTGGTCTGTGTGTGGTCAGAAGTTGATTACAGATATTCATGAGCTGCAGTACCCTATTACTACCAGGTGGACTATAAGCTAGTTTGTCACTCAATTTTATAAAAAAAAGTATACGAGTTCTACAACAGGCCATCTACCTACTGGATGACCTTTTTACCGTCTGGAAAAAATATGGTTAACATGTGAACGAAGTAGAAGCCTATGGCATTGATGTTTTACGAAAAAATAAAAACAAAAATTTTGAAATAAATATTTAAAAAAAATTTAAAAATTAAATTGCCTTTTGCCCTGACCTTTGAGCCTGTGACCCAGCAAAGTGGCAAGGTCAAAGATACCCACTAAATTTATTGTTTTATTGCCGTTCGTAAAGTAGGGTGGATATGATTTGAATTTCGATTGATTTTAGTTAATTAATTTATTTATTTAAAAAAAATTGTTTTAATTTTTTATAAAATATCAGTCCGTTTACATGTTACACCCAGACGGTAATAATTACACAATAAATAAAATCAAAGTGCCTGTTTTTAAAGTCAAAATAACATATTTGTACTGAATGCATATGAAAGTATATACGACTAAGCTGTTTCCAACGACATCGCCCACGTAATTTGGAGTTTTTAATTTTTTGCGCGGAACTCTAATTCTTTAAAAAAAGTAACCTTAGCTACTCCTTATAAGCTATCTGCAACTGAAAGACCTCTCAAAATCGGTCCAGCTCTTTTGGAGATTAGCCGGCACGAACAGACAGACAAATACTGTCATGTTTGATGCAGCCGTGGTAGTTCAGGGGCAAAGCGCTTGTTGTAAATTATACAGTACGCGAGCAACCCGAGTTCAATACTACCCACATCAAGAAAATTGTTAATTATAATTTTACGTGCTGATTTACCACGTGTTCGGCGGTGAATGAGTACACCGTGAGGATACCTGCATTTCTAGGAAAGTGAAGTTCGCCAACACGCATTGGGGTTACTTAATCGATTAAACGAAGCGCTACGGACATTTCCTTGCTCTAAAATCTTCAGTTCCGGGGTAAGCAGAGACTACGGACTTCTATTTGCCACGAGCCTGACACACCTCTCCCACCTCCTTTACATCCATATACCTACGTATACATGCTCGTCGATTAAGGGTACTCTTAATCTGGTTAATTTTAATATATCGCCAATTTGGTCGATAAACTTTCGCCTAGGGCGTCTCTTCCCAACTCTGCCGTTCACTTCTAAAACATGAATTTGCTTTGTCACTCTTTCTCTTTAAAAATCATCCTAATTTCAAAAGAGAAGATATCTGGGTGCTAACTTGGGACCCTTTATTTATAAAGTTAAATACAAAACCCAAGTATAATACAATACACCATTGCAAGACAAAAACTCAAAATACTGAAAGTTAATTAATTCTTCGTAAATCGGACCAAAAATTAATGTTTAGGGGCTGAAGGTAGCGTAGGTTGTCTTTAACATCAGAAAGTTCTCATTTCTCTCATGCGGTGTTGTAATTCACAAAACGCCCGAAATAAAAAATAAGTTTAATTAAACGCAATAAAACCCTTTAAACAATTTAATTTAATACTAACTGTTCCCCGCAACTTCGTTCACGTGGAATTTATTACATTGGATTTCATGGGTTTTAATTTTTTGCGCGGAACTCTAATTCCTTTCCTACAATAAAAAAAGTAGCTTCATGTTTAAATGTTAACTTAGTTATCCTTATATATTATAGCTCGACTGACTACCTGGCTGCACATGAACATGGTTGAAAGGAGTATTGTACCCTACATACCGCAACTAAATTTCCCATACCCAGAAGTTCGTAGCAGTTCTTATAGTGTTGGAGGTTAATATTTACGTCATTTCTGAGATTATTCAGCAAAACTATTGGTGTACGTGATTTTTGGTAACGCGATATGAGTGCCGTTTCGTTGCAATGTTCAGAGCTGAACAAGTAGCTTAAGTTATTTGTTATAACATCCGCTATCTGCCAGTGAAAGTTCCGTCAAAATCTGTCCAGCCATTTCGGAGATTAGCCGGAACAAACCGACAGGCAGACCGAAAGACGAAAATTTTAAAAATAGTTTAGTGTTTTAATCACCCTACGCACTTGCATATGTATTTAATAAAAAGCTATTATATTGACATTACAAACATACACTTCAATTTTATTTATTTGTGTTGATAAAAATAATGGTTTGTGTATCTGTTAGTGATCGTGTCACTTCTGAAGACAACCGATTAAGGTCGTATTCACTCAATATATTTGCTTTAGTTGGGGACGATGCTTCATAGCTATACTAGGTGGCGCTGTAGTTAATTAGTTAATAAATTCTATATTTTACATAGAATACATACATAATAGAACGGCGAAAATGTCACTAACACGTCCATTCACACGTATAAATGTCAATACGAGATGTGTTTGACGTTAAAATTGTTTCCAAATTTCGCATGCAAATAACAACATAATAGAATGGGGGAGTGGGCGGAGCTTGTGTAGCCACTAAAATTTCGCTAACACCTAAATTCACACGTATAAATGTCAATATGAGATGTGTTTTGATGTTACAATCGTTTCAAAATTTGCCATGTAAATTATTTAGAAAATGCCAAATTGCACTCTATTTACAAATTTAAAACTTTGTATTAAAATCTGTCTGTCAACACAGCGAATCGGGTTTGTAGTAGTGATAATACGAAGTGATTGCTTGTATGTGTGCTCCCGGCGACACCTATCGTCGTATAAGGTTGACAGCCATTCTATTGCGTATTATAGTATTCTATGATATTTTATTATCCAAAATGAATCACTCATTACATAGTATTGGTTTAGTGCCAAAAAGATGGCGTTGTTGTCGAGTTACAAAAAGTCCGAAATTAAAATAATCCCGGCATCTACCGGTAAGGACAGAACAATGTCTGCAGGACCAGCTAGTTCAATATATTTTCCTGTTCTTAATAGCTACGGCGAAGATAAAGACGAATCGGTGATCGAAGCGGACGTGGAGTACCTGCGTCTGACACGAAAGGTGATAAATGACGAGATCACCAAGTTCGAGGACCTGAAGTGGCTGGTGGGATGGTTCGGGAACCGCTCCGAACTTATCCAGGAGCACATGTGCAACACGCGGTACTTCACTGTCGGTAAGTGCGAGTGGTAATAGAGAATCAATGCATCATCTTGTGGTGGTCTGGGGTTTTCCAATGGCGACCGAACTATTTACACGCGGTAGAGTCATCATCATCAACATTACAGCCCTTCACAAGTCCACAGCTGAACATAGGCCTCCCCCAAGTAATGCCACAAAGCACGGTCCTGAGCCACCTGCATCCATCGACTTCCTGCATATCTTACCAGGTCGTCACTCCATCTAGTGGGGGATCGCCCTACACTACGCCTACCGGTACGAGGCTGCCACTCGAGAACCTTTCTTCCCCATCGGTTATCGGTTCTTCGGCTATACGGCCCGCTCATTGTCACTTCAGCTTACTAATCCGTTGGGCTATATCGGTCACTCTGGTTCTACTGCGGATATCCTCATTTCTAAGTTTATCACGCAGAGAAACTCCAAGCATAGCCCTCTCCATAGCTCGCTGAGTGACCTTGAGCGTCCTCATATGGCCAGCAGTGAAAGACCACGTCTCAGATCCATAAGTCATCACTGGCAATACGCACTGGTTGTATAATCTGGTTCTCAGAGATTGAGGTATACCTGACGAGAAGATGTGTCGTCGACGTCGTCGGTAGAGTCATGCTGTAGCTATATTGTGGTTGCAACACGAATAGATCGGCTCGACCGAAAATGGAGTACGCTCTCACAAAAAAACAGATTATAGTTTCTGTGCTGCACTTCGGTGCTCTTCGGTGCGTTTTACCGAAGTGAAAACGCTGGAAACGAGGCATCCCATCTTAGTACTCGCGGGTGACAATGCATCCGCATTTTGATTCTTAATCGAGGATAGATGTAGATGTCTATGGGCCACAGCAACCATTCATTATCAGGTACCAACTTACAGTCGAATTGAGGACCAATTCCTATTTTGAAGTATGTTCAAAATACAACGGCTTACATACTGATAAGTTTACATATTCGAGCATAGAAAAAAAATATTTTCTATAAATATAAAGCAAACGTCAAATGTCAAAACCAAGCCAACCACGTATCCTGCAGGAGTTACACTATCACATTGCTGCGACCGTAATTCATTAATTTTTATTTATTTTTGCTTTTATAATAGGAAAACTGTATTTAACTTTCAACTGCGCATTAATATATAAAACACAGTTAAATAAAATATAAAATAAACGCTTTTTGCCTTGACTTGACGTACACTCCACAGACTAGTAACAACATACACGCAAACTAATTAGAAAAAGAAACAAAATTGGAAATGCATTCAATTAGTCCCTCGGGAATCATTTGTCGGCAACATTTTAAAATTCTTTGGTAACAATCTCTACTCTGTGATTATTTGACCACAGACTATTATGTTAGAGATTGGTGGTATGAACGTAAACAGTGAATAGTTTATTTTAATTTATCTATTCAATTTGTAACACATGCTTTATACATACTTTAGCTATCTGCACTCCTTCGTATAAACATTAACCATGCCAAATCTCACACGCAATATGCTTAGAAAGGTATACCTACAAAGTTTTCTCTTTATGTATTAATTTAGATTGTTACGACCGTAAAGTGGCGGTGTAAGAATATCCACTATCCCATATCATCCCGTGGGTGTCGTAAGATGCGACACAGGGAAACAAATCAGGAGATGGGCAACAGCATCTTCCTAAAAACGAATAAAAAAAGAACTACGGTTGGCAACCTACTTGTCAAGCGTGGCAACTATGGCAAATATCCAGCCTATGAGGAAACCTATGGGGCGGCCTATGTTAAGCAGTGGACTTTCATAGTATGTTACTGCAAGGGTTTTAAACAGTCAACGCCATAATCGACGTCTTAAAATCTATCCAGGCGCTAAGACGAAATGGTGTCGTGGATACACACAAACACGTAGATTTTAAGGGGGTGAAGCAGACGCGGGATCGGCGCGCGGGGCCCCTCGCGTGTTCGGCTAGCTATATATAGGATAAGGCTCATAATGGTATCACTGGACAGTTGGATGAGGAAAAAAAACAACAGCACGTGAATGTTTTTGTAGCTTCTTTTGTTGCCAAATTTTTTGTCAATTAAAACAACATTTTAAAATATATCGAAATTAATACGAATTCGATACTTCAAGATAAATATTGAATATCAATACATCGAAATTTTAAAAATATCGACGTATATATATATATATCAATATTTAAGAAAATATCCATATTTTGATATATCGATATTTTATCCAAACCTAGCGACAAGCTGCAGATCGCACTTTCATAAGTGTAGGATTATTTCATAATCTACTAATAGTTGAATACTATCTACGCATATCTACTATCTACGAATATATCTAGTATATATAGTATATAAATATATTGTAATGGATTGATATAACCAGCGTTTATTTATAAAATAGTTTCAGATAATAATTGGGTGCACCAAAAGAGTCTTCTCGTGTGGTGATACCTATAGTATTATATTAAAGACAGGTACAACATGATACGACTCGTACCTCTGATGCCTATAGGTGTTTACTTACAAGTCGACGTATACTTACTTTTCAACATGAAAATAAACTACATATTTATCGAGGTATATACCTAGTTTATTGTCATGTTGAAAAATACTTCATCATTATTTTATTTTGACACTATCCTCCAAGGCGCTTCTTGTAAACTAATAAGTACCAACAAATTTTATTTTTTTATAAATATTATCCCAAACGTCTTTGATGATGGTGTCCAAATAAAATAATCATGTAGTACTTTTCAACATGAAAGTAAACTAGGTACATACCTTGGTTGGTATGTAGTTTATTTTCATGTTGAAAAGTAAGTGTACTCGAGGTAATTTGCCAATATTTTTTAAACGTTACCCCCACACTAGAATTTTCTCCAGTATCGTGGAGGCAGTTCACAAATATAAATTGCACAAGGACAAACATTCAGACCTAGAACAATTATTAGTAGCCCATACAAATACTTGTTCCGTGCGGGATTTGAACCCACGGCCCTCAGCGCAGCCACTCGTTGCTAAGCCACTGCGCCAGGGAGCCGTCACTTCGTTAAAGTCAAAGTATATCTGTTACATACGAGTTCATTCATACCTATAACAAATGTTTATTTATCAGTTTGTATAATAAACATACTTAGTTTATTTACATGTTTATTACTTGCTACTACTAGTTCACTGTTTGAATTGATACTACGACTAAGGAAGGCAAGGTTTTGATGCCTAATTTTTCAATTTTGACTACCCCTCAATGGCATACCACGGTTATCAATATTTTTTTATATTGTTACCTTTATACGACGACAGCGGGCGTGATAAAGTTGTACACGGGTGCTCTTTACGACGCGCTGTGGACGGCTGGCCTATAAGGGGATGACACTTCCATACAAATTCACGAGAATAAAATATGCATTGAAAGTTCTGCCCTCCAGTGAGCGGGGTACATAAACTTGTAGGATAGTTTTCTTAAGCGTTGTAAAGATGGCGTTCACGAGATAAAACTGGGGTTCTTACCTGATGACCCAGAACCCCCAAAAACAAAAAGTTTGAATTAACAATTCATCGTAATTTTTAATACAATTCGTTCACAGTCCTTCCATTTTATTAAAACCTAATTAAAAATTATGTTGCTGAGTATTTAGTTCATAAATCTATAACAAATATATGAGAAATTATACGTGTAAAATTCATAACTACTCAATTATATTTTAGAAAGGAAAGAGGCTATTAAAAAGGTAAAGTAAATATCCATCGATGTTGTGTTCATTAATAGATAAAGATTATTTAATAATTCAAACTCAATTGATTGAAGAACCACAAATGAAGAATATTCAAAATACAATAACTCATAAAACGAAAATATTTTGTGACTTTTCCATTCCTCTCTTGTGAAAATCATAATAAGATGTTTTATGATTATTATTTTATGATTATTAAATTTTTTCGTCGTTTTCTTCGTCTTTGATATGAATATAAAAAAAATCTTATGTGAATTATGTGGCGAAGTTTTATTAGTGTTAATGTTATCTACAAAATTTCCATTTGGAGATTTGGGATTATTATTGGAGATATCCAATAATTACACATTTTTGTCACATTTAAAGATCGGAGATAGCTCAATTGGATAGTTCTCACTGTAAATTCCAGAGTACGCGAGTAAACCTGGTTCGATCCCCGCTGGCATCAATAATTGTTATTTGGAAGTTTATCTGGTGCTTTACCACGTGCTCGTCGGAGGTGCGGTGCTTTTTTATAACCTTAAGGCAATTTCACATTGAGTCAGTAACTGCCGTCAGTCGCCGCCCACTGCCATCGTGTAAATTGATTTCAAGTTAGTACAGTACTGTCGCGTTAGTACTGACTTTAATATTCCCGCTTCATATTTTTGTCACCTCCCCGCCACACCCTCACTGCCGCTCAATTGTACAGGGACCACGCTGCGTCGGACCGCATCACAAAATGACGCGAAAACTGAGCGAGAGGGAAAACTTAAAGCTTATTGAACTGTACCGCGATAATGAATTCCTGTGGGATAACAAATAAGGAAATTATAGAAATAAAGAAATGCGTGCAACAGCATTACAGAATATTGCACGAGAAATAAATTTAGAAGGGTTTGGCCCTACCGAGGTCATAAACAAAATTAAAAGCTTGAGGGCAACTTATTACTTGGAACTGGATAAAATAAAAAACTCCTCAAAAACAGGCGCTGGTGGAAATGTCTATACTCCAAAGGTGAAATGGTTCGAAGAAATGGACGCTTTTATTTCTTATAAAAGCGTCCATTTCTTCGAACCATTGTATCTATACAAAGGAAAAGAAAAGTAAGTACCCACAATATTTATTTATTTTTAGTATTAAAATAAAACAAATATAATTTAAGAAATTCTGTTAAACTGCCACGGTACACTTCCATTCGTCATAAAGTAATTTTTCAATAAATCTCTTCTCTCTTTGGCATTTACGGAATGGTTACCTCTAAGTTGATCAGTTATACTTATTAATGGAGTTATTTCCGAT